CACTCCCCAATTGGCCTCAATGACCAGAGCTGTGCCAATCCAAAGCCAGGAGCCAGGAGCTTCTTCCAGGTCTCCCATGCAGGTTCAGGGGCCCAAGGATTGGGCCATCTTCCATTGCTTTCTCAGACCACAGCAGAGAGCTGGATTGGAAGTGGAATAGCCAGGAATTGAACCGGCACCCATATGGGATGCTGGCACCATAGGCAGCAGCTTAACCTGCTAGGCCACAGTGCTGGCCCCTGACCATACAATTTTTGACCAAAAGAAACATAATAATTTTGTACAAAGGATTCAAAGCTACATCTAATATATTTTACATCATTAATAAATAACATGACTGAAAAAATTTCCACTTACATATAATTAGTAAATATGTTATATTTATTGTTATAGTAAAATACCTCACAGGCTACTAAATAAAGTTTATTTTTACTTAGAGTTTTGAAGGTTCAAGTCAAAGGTCGGTGGCCTCATTGGTTTGGCTTTTGATGAGGGTGGTAGTCGTGGAGCATGGGTGCAGGAAGAGGAAGAGTCACCTGGTTAGCCAGGGAGCAGAGAGAGTGGCTGAGCCTGACTCAGGCTTATATAGTGACACCTCTCATGAGAACTACCTTCCAAGGACATGTCCCCAGTGACCCAAGGACCTCTCACTCTCATTTTCTTTAACACCACAACAGGATTGTTTCCAGGCTGTTAGAACCATGAACTTAACAACTGTGAAATTTAAACATTTGCATGAGTTCTGGAGCCAGGTCTTATTCAAACCATAGCAGTATCTTTCTCATTCATTTTTGTTGCAGTTTTGTTCATTTTACGAATTCTTAGTTATTTTTCTTTCTATTCAGAGATTCTGGCTTTTCTTTCATTTACTAACTCAGAGACAAAACTTCTCCTACTCCATCACTCACCCCCATCCTGCCCATTGCTGTCTGGGTTTATCTCTGGCTGTGCTCCTTGACTTGCTACATTAGAACAGCTTTATGATAAACAGGAATCCTCCCTGTTTTTGCTTCATTCCTTAGAATCTCAGGTTCCCTAATATAACACTCCCATTCCTCAGGGAGGAGTGCCAAATTCTGACTACAGGCTGTTACTCTGCATCCTCATTCTTCATGTCTGACCATTCTCCACCCCACACTCATGTACTTCCTATCTCCTGTCCCCCATCCTGGTCACCTTGCATATAATCCTGACAACCAAGTATATATGTCACTATTTTAAAATAACCCAGAGCAAGGATTTTGTAATTAGGACAATCATAGATTACTTAAGTTTTTCATTTTCTTTTGTTTTAAGACCAGATCTTTCCCATTTTAAAAATTCTCATGTGAACATTCTTCTTCAAAAAATTAATTTCTTTACTGGAGAGGAAGAGGCAGAGAGAGAAAAAGAGAATTCTGGCTCCCATCTGCTCTGGCATTCCCTAACAGCCCATAACAATGGGAGAGCCAAAGCTGGGAGCCAGGAACTCCATCCAAGTCTCCCACGAGGGTGGCAGGAACCCAACCAGCTGAGCCATCACCTGCTGCCTCCCAGGATGTGCATCAGCAGGGAGCTGGAATTAGGTGCTTGAGCTGGGAATTGGACCCAGGTACTCTGTTGTGGGTTGCAACATCTTAACTGCTAAGGAAAATGCCCATCACTCATTTACACATACTTAACTACATTATTACTCTACCTGTTAGGCTACTTATGTTTTCTACAGAAGCTTGATTTTCTTTCAGATAGTGGCACTGATGTCTATGCTCTTCTTTCTTTGTCTCTGACTTTCTGATTCCGAGACAGCCGTACTTATCTTCCTCAAAAATCTTTGCTAAATTCCTTCTTCATCACTTTCCACTATGTAGGTTCTCTTCTTTTCCCTTATGTTTTTTACATTATTGACAATTCTCTTTTAATGGGCAGCCTTTATCCAGTGTATAAATGAAGGAGTCTGCATTTTTTAAAGAAATTATTTGTAATATACAGATTTAGGAACATAGTGATACTTCCCACCCTACCCTTCCTCCTGCTGATGCTCAAACCCTCCTTCCTCCTTTCTCTCCATTCCCACTCTTAATTTTTTTCAAGTTTTTATTTAATGAATGCATTTTTTCATAGATACAACTTTAAGAATACCATGGTTCTTTCCCACATACTCCCGCCCCCTCACTCCCATCCTACCTCCCTCTCCCTCTCCCATCTCCTTCTTCATTATGGTTCATCTTTAGTTCAACTTTATATACAGAGGAACAACTCTATACTAAGCATAGACTTAACAGTTTGCAACTATGCACATACACAACATATAGAGTACAGTTTGGGAACAAAATTTGCAGTCAATTCTCATAGTACAACTCATTAGGGATGGAGGTCCTATATGGGGAGTAAGTGCACAGTGACGTTTGTTGTTACTTTAACAATTAACACTCCTATTTATGATGTCAGTGATCATCCGAGGCTCTTGCCATGGGCTGCCAGGCTATGGAAGCCTTCTATGACCATAGACTTCATCAGTTTGGACATGGCCATGAGCAAAGTGGATGTTCTCACCTCCCTTCAGAGAAGAGTACATCCTTCTTTGATAACCCTTTCTTTCCACTGAGGTCTCACAGAGATCCTTCGTGTAGGATATTTTTTGCCACAGAACCTTGGCTTTCCATGCCTGAAATGCTCTCATAGGCCTTTCAACCAGACCAGGAAGCCTCAAGGGTTGATTCTGAGGTCAGCCACTCTTAATTGTAACAAAGATATACTTTCAGGTTACTTAATGATCATAAAATTAATTCTACACTAAGTAAAAGAGTTCAACAAATAGTGAGAAGAAAAAAAAAGACACTCTTCCTCAATAGAAGATACAAGGGCTGTAAACATTCATTGATTCTCAAAATGTCCATTTAACTCCAATACACTATATTTTAGATACTCTATTAGTTACCTCAGAACAGGGAAAATATATGGTATCTTCCTTTTTGGACTGTCTTATTTCACTAAGTATAATGGTTTCCAGGTTTATTTATTTTGTTGCAAAAGACAGGATTTCATTTTTTTTATAGTGAGTAGTACTCCCTGGTGTATGAGTGTGTGTGTGTGTGCATATATGTGTATCTCATAATTTCTTTATCCAGTTAATAATTGATGTAGATCTGAATTGATTCCATATCTTATCTATTTTGAATTGTGCTGCAATGAACATGGGGGTACAGATAACTCTTTCATACACTAATTTCTTTTGTTTGAATAAATGCCAAGCAGTTGAATGGCTGGATCATATGGTATGCCTATATTCAGATTTCTGAGGTATCTTTATACTGTATTTCACAATGACTGTACCAGTTTACATTCCCACCAACAGTAGATTAGGGTACCTTTTCCCCACATCTTCACTAGCATTTGTTGTTTGTTGATTGCTGTATGAGTCATTCTACTGGAGTGAGGTGAAACATCACTGTAGCTTTGATTTACATTTCCCTGTTGGCTAGTGATCCTGAGCATTCTTTCAAGTGTCTGTTGACCATTTGAATTTCCTCTCTTGAAAACAGACTGTCAAGTCCTTTGTTCATTTCTTAACTGGATTGTTTGTTTTGCTGTTGTTAAATTTCTTGAGCTCTTTATAGATTCTGTTTTTTTTTAAAGATTATTTATTTATTTATTTATTTGACAGGCAGAGTCTTTATCCATTGCATAGTTTGCAAATATTTTCTACCAATCTGTCAGTTGCCACTTCACTTTACTGAGTGTTTCATCTGCTGTGCAGAAGCTTCTAAGCTTGATGTAATTTCATTTGTCCATTTTGGTTTTGATTACCTGTGCTTCTGGGGTCTTTTCCAAGAAGTCTTTGCCTATGCTAATGTCTTGCAGTTTCCCCAATGTTCTCTATTAATCTGATGTTATTGGGTCATAGATTTAAGTCTTTGATCATTTTGCCCACTGTATGAAACTAAGAATTTTAAAAAACTTTTTTTGTTAAAACATTCATGATGTAAATGTCATTTGTAAAAGTATAAACTAAGTCCCTTTCTTATAATTATGTTCCATGTGAGTCAAAGCTATGAACAAACAACTGGGTTATATCTAGTATCTACTCTTCAGGCATTCATTATTATTTAAATTTTATGAACAAAAATATATTATGTTCTTACTAAATTATTTGTTAACAAATCATTACTATTTATCTTAACAATAACAAATTAACTTATCAAGCATTTGAAAATTCTTAATAACTGCTTTTACATACAAAATTAACAGCCTGCTTTGTTGTCATTAACTATTGTAGAATTTATGTTTTTGGTAATATACACTGGTAAGTCAACCACCTGCCAGAATTTCAACATATAAAGCACATAAAGAGGTTTTTTACTTTAATTTATATCTAAAAGGTTTATCTACATATACAGATATAATGATGGATCAGAATGACATGCTTTGTAGCTATTACTGATGTTCTCATGCTGACTAGACCTATTATCCTATATCATCTATGATCACTAACCAGGTGCAAACTCAGGAGAAACTGAAATAATGTTCAAGTGGTAATTTGGCTCTTCAAACTTCCACAGCTTGAAGCCAAACCTAATGCCAAAAAGCAGATTTTTGGCCAAATATCAAGAATGATCAGTGCATCTCTATACAGATTACATATTGTGTATCTGAATCAGGTAGTCCAGCATGAAACACTCTGATTACCTTTGTAGGGTCCACCAGAAATAATCTTTACTTTCTTTAGAATAAACACACAGGACAATCTATTCCCTAAAAAAAAAACTTCAGCAGTTTTTTTCTGGGGTAAGCCTTGCTTGGATTTAGGTGCGGTGATAGCATTTAAAGATCAAATGCATTTACCTGGCATTTTTTGTTAACAAGGCTTAATTAAATATAAAGAGATTTTAAAAGCTAGTATTAACCCTTCCACAATATAAATTTTAAAATAATTTTTATACAAGAAACTCAATATGACTTCCAGATCAGAATTACTACAGTTGGATATCTGGTCTTCATTTTATTTGAAAAATTACTTTTAGGGGAGGAGGAAGGATGCAGAGAGAACGGAGAGGTAAAAATGTGGTTCATCAACTCTCGGTAACCTTAGAAGATTTATATAATGGTGCAACAAGGAAACTAGCTCTACAGAAGAATGTGATTTGTGACAAATGTGAAGGCCGAGGCGGTAAGAAAGGAGCAGTAGAGTGCTGTCCCAATTGCCGAGGTACTGGAATGCAAATAAGGATTCATCAGATAGGACCTGGAATGGTTCAGCAGATTCAGTCTGTATGCATGGAGTGCCAGGGCCATGGGGAACGCATCAGTCCTAAAGATAGATGTAAAAGCTGCAATGGAAGGAAAATAGTTCGAGAGAAGAAAATTCTAGAAGTTCATATTGACAAAGGCATGAAAGATGGCCAGAAGATAACATTCCATGGTGAAGGAGACCAAGAACCAGGACTGGAGCCAGGAGATATTATCATTGTGTTAGATCAGAAGGACCATGCTGTTTTTACCCGACGAGGAGAAGACCTTTTTATGTGTATGGACATACAATTGGTCGAAGCATTATGTGGTTTCCAAAAGCCAATATCCACTCTTGACAACCGAACCATAGTCATCACCTCTCATCCAGGTCAGATTGTCAAGCATGGAGATATCAAGTGTGTGCTAAATGAAGGCATGCCAATTTATCGTAGACCTTATGAAAAGGGTCGCCTAATCATTGAATTCAAGGTAAACTTCCCTGAAAATGGCTTTCTCTCTCCTGATAAACTCTCTTTGCTGGAAAAACTTCTCCCTGAGAGGAAGGAAGTAGAAGAGACTGATGAAATGGATCAGGTAGAACTCGTGGACTTTGATCCAAATCAGGAAAGACGGCGCCATTATAATGGAGAAGCATACGAGGATGATGAACATCATCCCAGAGGGGGTGTTCAGTGTCAGACCTCCTAATGGGGCCAGTGAAGAAGGCACTGCTGGCATTTTGTATGCAGCAGTGGATGGATGAGTGAAGGACTATAACCGTAATATGCTCACTACTTGCTATTGTTTTTGTTTTAATATTCAACTATAGTAGTGTTTTAAAGTTAATGAGAATAACGCAAATTTAAAAAAAAAAAAAGAAAAATTACTTTTAGGAATAAAAATGTTTACTGGAATAAAGACTCATCATTATAAAATATTTAAATTATGTATTTAATTGAGATTTCATTATGATTTTCTGCTATCATTAGAACCATCTTGTATTTAACTATAAATTACAAAAGAAACAATGCTCAATGAAAGTAAATTAACTCATCTTTTACACTCTAGTATTTGGATAATGTTATAGTGAGTATGCATCAGAAGATAAAATAAAATAAAAAATAAAGATTTATTATGGAACAAGCTTTTGGTAGATCTTTAACAACAGCAAACTGATAAATCTGATTGCATTAAGAGGGACAAATAATCTGTGAAACTAATTTTTATTATCAAAGGGCCCACAGAATGATAATCCTCATTTGTTGGTCCATAATAAATGTTGCTTATTTAAGGACCAAGTCTGGATTAAAATCCATTGGAAACAACTGTACTTGGAATTTTGAAGTCATGAAATAGAGTTAATGGAGCTTGTTCAAATTTTTAACATTTGTTGTGGTAAGATATGAATGAATGCTAAACTAAGTCTTATTCTACAAATCACTTTGGCTTGAATAAGATGCCTTGAATGAAAATAATAAAAGAATATCATATTTACAGAATTCTAACTTATTTTCATCTTGAATGTATGTCGCTCCCCCTCTTCATGGAGGAACGACACTAGACCCTGCGCTGTTCTTTTGTCTGCTCGGCCCTTCCCAGGTTTGCTGCTGGTCCTTCCCGGGTTGGCTGGCAACCCCTCCACCTCCGTGGAGGGGCGGTTCCCCCTGCCACTTTCCCCACTTCCGCGGGGGAGTGGCACACCGCCGGCCGGCTCTCTCGGGGGCTGCTCAGATGTTATCCGAATGTTCCTGGTGCATGTTGTCTCTCTCCTCCTTTATAGTCCTCTTCCACCAATCCCAACTCTGCTGCCCACACGCCGAGCATGCTGCTCTCCTCCAATCAGGAGCAAGATCAGCTCCTGCAGCTTGTCAAGTTGGTGAGAGGCAGCTGTGTAGAAGTTGTTTACTCCTCTCCCAGCGCCATATTGTGGGAGAGCAGATGCATAGAATAAGTCTTAATTCCAGTAACTTAGTCTAGTCCGAGTTGCTCCCCACAAATGTAGAAGGAGAAAATCTAAATGTTAAAAAAAATGGGTGTTATTCACCAAAAGCTAGTCTCCCAATTTCTAGTGTAGGATTGATGCTGGCAACTGCTTGTCTGCCCTGGGACTACACTTCTCAGCCTCTTTGCATCCATGTAGCTCCATGTGACTTGTCTTGCAATGGGATGTGAGTGGAACTGATACATGGTTCTTCTTAGCCAAGACTGCTGCAGTGGGTGTATCTTCTTCAGACTGTCTTTTTCTCCCTTGTTGACTATTCAAAGGACTTCAAGTCCTGGTCAATAGAGAGCTGATAGTATGTTGGTGATTAGAAACCGTTTGTGTTTGTTAATATCAGCTGATCCTTAAATTGAGCCTATTGTTGCCATGTTTGTTTGGGGGCTGGTGGATGAAATCTTGATGTTATTCAAGAGACTCTGAGAGGATGGGTTTTTAATTGAAATGATATTTTTTTGTTTATTTTATTTTCTTTAACTTTTATTTAATAAATATAAATTTCCAAAGTACAACTTTTGGATTATAGCAGCTTTTCCCCCCCATAACCACCCTCCCACCCACAACCATCCCATCTCCTACTCCCTCTCCCATCCCATTCTTCATCAAGATTTATTTTAAATTATCTTTATATACAGAAGATCAATTTAGTATATACTAAGTAAAGATTTCAACAGTTTGCACACAGATAAACAAAGTATAAAGTACAGATGGAATATCAGGTATGCTGTCAATTAACATAGTACAACACACTAAGGACACAGATCCTACATGGGGAGTAAGTGCAGAGTGACTCCTATTGTTGATTTAACAATTGACTCTTATTTATGACGTCAGTAATCACCCGAGGCTCCTGTCTTGAGATGCCAAGGCTATGGAAGCCTCTTGAGTTCACCAAGTCCGATCTTATTTAGATAAGGCCATAGTCAAAGTGGAAGTTCTTTCCTCTCTTCAGAGAAAGGTACCTCCTTCTTTGATGGCCCATTCTTTCCACTGGGATCTCACTCCCAGAGATCTTTCATTTAGATCATTTTTTATTTTTTTGGCAGAGTGTCTTGGCTTTCCATGCCTGAAATACTCTCATGGGCTTTTCAGATCCGAATGCCTTAAGGGCTGATTCTGAGGCCAGAGTGCTGTTTAGGACATCTGCAATTCTATGAGTCTGCTGTGTATCCCGCTTCCCATGTTGGATTGTTCTCTCCTTTTTAATTCTATCAGTTAGTATTAGCACACACTAGTCTTGTTTATAGATATCTTTGAAACTTACTCCTATAATTATTATCAATTATGAACTGAAACTGATAACTTTGACTAGTAAGATGGCATTGGTACATGCCACCTTGATGGGATTGAATTGGAATCCCCTGGTATGTTTCTAACTCTACCATTTGGGCAAGTCTGATTGAGCATGTGCCAAACTGTACATCTCCTCTCTCTCTTATTCCCACTCTTATATTTAACAGGGATCACTTTTCAGTTAAACACCTAAGGATAATTGTGTGTTAATTACAGAGTTCAACCAGTGGTATAAAGTACAACAAAATAAAACTAAAAGGAATAAAGTAGTAAGTTGTTCCTTGACAGCAGGGCAAGGGCTGATCAAGTCATTGTTTCTCATAGTGTCCATTTCACTTCAATAGGTTTCCTTTTAGGTGCTCGGTTAGTTGTCACTGATCAGGTAGAACACATGATATTTGTCCCTTTGAGACTGGCTTATTTCACTCAGCATGATGTTTTCCAGATTCCTCCATTTTGTTGTAAATGACCAGATTTCTTTCTTTCTTTTTTTTTTTTTTACTGATGTATAGTATTCTATAGATTTCGTAGCCCATAATTTCTTTATCCAGTCTTCTGTTGATGGGCATTTAGTTGATTCCATGTCTTAGCTGTTGTGAATTGAGCTGCAATAAACATTGAAGTGCAGATAGCTCTTTTATTTGCCAATTTAATTTCCTATGGGTAAATTCCAAGGAAGGGGATGGCTGGGTTGTATGGTAGGGCTATATTCAGGTTTCTGAAGAATCTCCAAACTGACTTTCATAGTGGTTTTACCAGTTTGCATTCCCAGCAACAGTGGGTTAGTGTTCCTTTTTCCCCACATCCTTGCCAGCATCTGTTGTTAATTGATTTCTGAACGTGAGCCATTCTAACCAGGTTGAGGTGAAACCTCATTGTGGTTTTGATTTGCATTTCGCTGATTGCTAGTATCCTGAACATTTTTACATGTGTCTGTTGGCCATTTGGATTTCCTCTTTTGAAAAATGTCTATTGAGGTCCTTGGCCCATCTCTTAAGTGGGTTGTTTGTTTTGATGTTGTGGAGTTTCTTGATCTCTTTGTAGATTCTGGTTATTAACCCTTTATCAGTTGCATAGTTTGCAAATATTTTTTCCCATTCTGTCGTTGGTCTCTTCACTTCCTGACTGTTTCTTTTGCAGTGCAGAAACTTCTCAATTTGGTGTAATCCCAAATGTTAATTTTGGCTTTGACTGCCTGTGCCTCCGGGGTATTTTCCAAGAAGTCTTTGCCGGTACCTATATCTTGCAGGGTTTCTCCAATGCTCTCTAATAATTTGATGGTGTCAGGTCATAGATTTAGATCTTTAATCCATGTTGAGTGAATTTTTGTGTAAGGTGAAAGGTAGGGGTCTTGCTTCATGCTTCTGCACGTGGAAATCCAGTTTTCCAGCACCATTTGTTGAATAGACTGTCCTTACTCCAGGGATTGGTTTTAGATCCTTGATCAAATATAAGTTGGCTGTAGATGTTTGGATTGATTTCTGGTGTTCTATTCTGTTCCATTGGTCTAGCCATCTGTTTCTGTACCAGTATCATGCTGTTTTGATAACAACTGCCCTGTAGTATGTCCTGAAATCTGGTATTGTGATGCCTCCGGCTTTGTTTTTGTTGTACAAGATTGCTTTAGCTATTCGAGGTCTCCTGTGCCTCCATGTGAATTTCAACATCATTTTTTCTATATCTGTGAAGAGTGTCTTTGGTATTTTATTGGTATTTCATTGAATCTATTGAATTGCTTTTTGGATAATGGACATTTTGATGGTGTTGATTCTTCCATCCTTGAGCATGGAAGATTTTTCCATTTTTTGGTATCCTCTTCTTTATTTCTCTCTTTAAAGTTTTGTAACTTTCATCATAGAGATCTTTGACTTCCTTAGATATGTATATTCCAAGGTATTTGATTATTTTTGTAGCTATTGTGAATGGGATTGATCTTAGCAGTTCTTTCTCAACTGTGGCATTGCCTGTGTATACAAAGGCTGTTGATTTTTATGCATTGATTTTATATCCATCTATTTTGCCAAACTCTTCTATGAGTTGCAATAGTCTCTTAGTAGAGTTCTTTGGATCCCCTAAATAAAGAATTGTGTCTTCTTTTACCTTCGTTTGTATTGATGGCTGTGTTTCTGTGTTTCTGTGTGTAACACATCTTTAAGCATCTTTTGCAGGGCTGGACGAGTGGCGACAAATTCTTTCAATTTCTGTTTGCTATGAAAGGTCTTTATTTTACCTTCATTCACAAATGATAGCTTTGCAGCATATAATATTCTGGGCTGGCAGTTTTTTTCTCTTAGTACCTGGGCTATATCTCGCCATTCCCACCTAGCCTGTAGGATTTCTGATGAGAAGTTTGCTGTGAGTCTTACTGGAGATTCTCTGAGAGTAATCTGATGTTTCTCTCTTGTACATTTTAGAATCTTTTCTTTATGTTTCACTGTGGTGAGTTTGATTATAATGTGTCGTGTTGAGAATCTCTTTTGGTCACGTTTATTGGGGGTTCTATGTGCTTCCTGTACTTGGATGTCTATTTCCTTCTCCAAACCCAGG